CTTGCAGATTTTTTTCTTAAATCAGATGTCACCTCTAAGTCACATTTCTTAGGCAAGAAAGAGCTGCTATTGCAATGGAGATGGTACATGGCGCCTTTTCTTAACTTCTGTTAAGACCTGCTGTTTAAATCACTACCCATGGAGTTAAAATGCCTGCACTTCATTCTTACGGGTTCAGCAAAGATCATGCTATCCCCAGTTTTCAGAAAAAGGAGGGCTTTAAGCTAAGCTGTCCTTTGTGTTTTGATGTAGTTACACAAAGACTCTATCTGCTGTTATTGAAGTAGGTTTGGCCAGACTGTACTTATTGGCCAAACAGCTAATAAAGACCCAGTGATTTGATTTAAGGAAGTAACTGCAGTGTTATAAACATCAATGAGATTGATTTAACATTGCCAAATATTAGTTTAACATTATTGGAATAAATATTAATATTTTGATTAGAAAATCCTGAACATTTCTAACCATTTGTATTGACTATTTTTGGGAAGGAGGGGGTGACCAGTCACAGGATCAGTATGATCTTTTTCTATTTCTAAATAAAACACAAAAACTCAAAAAATACAAAAATGCAAACATTAAAAAAGTAGAAGCTATTTTCAGTAACTTTTCAACCAGTTCCATATTTTAAACCATTGTTTTAGTCAAATTTTAGAATAATTATCGGAAAATATCCTCATCCTGTATTTTGGGGGAGGAGGTGAGAGAACTATAAATGATTTTCCCATTCCATGCATATTTCCAATTTTTTTAACAATTTTGAATTTTTTTCTTTTCATTTTTTGGAGTCACGACATTTGTTGAAGTAGACCCTGTTTTGCAAACAGCTTGGCTGTATCTAGACTGGCTAGCTTTTCTGGAAAATCAGCCGCTTTTCCAGAAAAACTTGCCATCTGTCTACACTGGCCGCTTAAATTTCCGCAAAAGCACTGACTTCCGACTGTAAGAAATCAGTGCTTTTTGAGGAAATACTATGCTGCTCTCGTTCGGGCAAAAGTCCCTTTTGCGAAAAGTTTTGCACAAAAGGGCCAGTGTAGACAGCTCAGATTTGTTTTTCACAAAAAAAGCCCCAATCGCGAAAATGGCTATCGGGGCTTTTTTGTGGAAAAGCGCGTCTAGATTGGCAACAGACGCTTTTCTGCAAAAAGTGCTTTTGCAGAAAAGTGTCCGTGCCCATCTAGATGCTCTTTTCCGAAAATGCTTTTAACGGAAAAGTTTTCTGTTAAAAACATTTCCGGAAAATCATGCCAGTCTAGACGTAGCCATGGGGTTTGAAAAAAAACTTCACAGACCCATATACAGGAATTTTGAGGGGGATGCTTTTTTGTAAATGTGGACCTAAAGGATGGAGGGATGCGGAGAATGAGTCCCAGCCTTCCCCTGGCTGGCCAGAACATGGAATAGGGAGGCCTGGGCAGCACACCACTCCTGCTTTCCCCCGGCTGTCTGGAGCACGCTTCCTTGGGGAACCATGGGGGAGGGGGTTCTCACATTTCACACACACCCACATTCAGGCCTGTCTCAGGAGGTCGAGTCCAACCCCCTGCTAAAACCAGGACCAATCCCAGCTAAATCATCCAAGTCAGGACTTTGTCAAGCTGGGAATTAAAAACCTCTAGGGATGGAGATGCCACCACTTCCCTAGGTAACCCATCCCAGTGCTTCATCCTCCTAGTGAAACAGTTTTTCTTAATATCCAATCTAGACCTTCCCCCACTGCAACTTGAGACCATTGCTCCTTGTTCTGCCATCTGTCACTACTGAGAACAGCCTCTCTCCATCCTCTTTGGAATTCCTCTTCAGATAGTTGAAGGCTGCTATCAAATCCCCACCTTACTCTTGTCTTCTGTATATCCAATCCCTCAGCCTTTTCCCACAAGTCTCATGTGCTCCAGCCTCCTAATTATTTTTGTTGCCCTCCACTGAACTCTGTTCAATGAGTCCACATCCTTTCTGTAATGGATGGTCCAGAATTTGATGCAGTACTCCATATGTAGCCTCACCAGTGCCGAATAAAGGGGAATAATCACTTCCCTAAATCTGCTGGCAATGCTCCTACTCATGTACCTCAATACAGTAATTCCTCATTTAACACTATCGATACGTTTCAGAAAATGATAGTGCTCAGTGAAAACGTGTTATGCGGGGTCAATTTTCCCATTGAAAATAATGGAGAAGGTGGGGGTTGCGTTTCAAGCGGTGGTGTCTGTTGGGACCAGGACATAAGGTTGGGGGAGAAAGGGGACTGGGTTACAGCAGGGAGGGGAGGTTTTTCGCTCTGGGGAAGCGAAAAGGAGGAGAGGGAAGGGGGATTGGGTTAGGAATATGCCCCTGTGATGGGTCTGCCAGGACCTGCACTGCGTCCGGTGAGGGGGGGTTGCCGGGGAACGGCGCGGTGAGTGGCAAACCCTCCGCCGCTTTTCAGGGAGGCGGGAGAAGTCCCGCGCAGCTGCTGGTGATGGGCCGGCTGGGGAAAACCCAGCCGCCAGCCTGCAAGTGGGGGCGGAGGAGAGGGGACAAGGCGTCCGGCAAGGGGGAGTCAGCGGGGAATGGTGCAGCGAGCGGCAAACCCTCTGCCACTTTGCAGGGAGGCGAGAAAAGTCCTGCGCAGCTGCCAGCAACAGGCCAGCTGGGGAAATCGTGTTATTCAGGGGACTGTCGTGTAATTCAAAAAACATTCCCTAAAAAAAAAAATTGTGCTATCACAAAAACGTGTTACGCGGGCATGTGTTAAATGAGGAATTACTGTATTCCATTAGCCTTCTTGGCTACAAGTGCACACTGTTGACTCATATCCAGCTTCTCATCCACTGTAATCCCCAGGTACTTTTCTGCAGAACTGCTACTTAGCCAGTCAGTCCCCAGCCTGTAACAATGTTTGGGATTCTTCTGTCCCAAGTGCAGGGCTCTGCACTTGTACTCATTAGATTTCTTTTGGCCTAATCCTCCAATTTGTCTAGGTCACTCTGACCCTTTGCCTACCCTCCAACAATCTACCTCTCCCCCTAGCTTAGTGTCATCTCTGAACAATCTACCTCTCCCCCTAGCTTAGTGTCATCTCCGAACATGCTGAGGGGGCAATCCATCCCCTCATCCAGGTCATTAATAAAGATGTTGAATAAAACCAGCCTCAGAACTGACCTTTGGGGCACTCCACTTGAGGCCAGCTGCCAACCAGACATCGAGCCGCTGATCACTATGGGTATGTCTACACTACCCAGCTAGTTCGAACTAGCGGGGGTAATGTAGTTATCCGCAGTTGCAAATGAAGCCCGGGATTTGAATTTCCCAGGCTTCATTTGCATGAAGCCGGCCGGCGCCATTTTTAAATGCCGGCTAGTTCGAACCCCGTGCCGCGTGGCTACACGTGGCACAGAGTAGCTAGTTCGGATTAGGCTTCTAATCCGAACTAGCTGTACGCCTCGAACTTTTTAGGCCCTGAACTTTTTCCTAGGTCCTAGGCACCATGCCTATTATATCCAATGGATAATCTGGCTCTGGTTGAGCCCAGTGATTTAGCCAGCTTTCTGTCTACCTTACCGTCCATTTATCCAATCCATACTTCTTTAATTTTCTGACGAGAATACTGTGGGAGATGGTATCAAAAGCTTTGCTAAAGTCAAAGTATATCACGTCCATCACCTTCCCCATATCCACAGAGCAAGTTACTTGGTCATAGAAGGCAATCATGTTGTCAGGCATGACTTGCCTTTGGTGAATCCATGTTGACTATTCCTGATCACTTTCCTCTCTTCCAAGAGCTTCAAAATGGATTCCTTGAGGATCCCCTTCATGATTTTTCTTGGGACCGAGGTGAGGCTGACTGGTCTGTAGTTCCCCAGATTCTACCTCCCTTTTTAAAAGATGGGCACTGCATTTGCCTTTTTCCAATAGTCTGGGACCTCCCCTGATTGCCATGAGTTTTCAAAGACAATGGCTCTGCAATCACATCAGCCAACTCCCTCAGCATCTGCAGATGCATTAGATCTGGCCCCACAGATTTGTGTATGTCCAGTTTTTCTAAATAGTTTTTAACCTGTTCTTTTTCCACTTCCCACATTCTCTCCGCACTTTGCTGCCCAGTGCAGTAGTTGGGGAGCTGACCTTGTCTTTGAAGACAGAGCAAAAAAGCATTGAGTACTTCAGCTTTTCCCACATCATCCGTCACTAGGTTACCTCCCTCATCCAGTAAGGGCCCACACTTTCCCTGACCACCTTCTTATTGCCAACATACTTGCAGAATCCTCTCTTGTTACCTTTCACATCCCTTGCTAGCTACAATTCCAAATGCACTTTGGCCTTTCTGATTAACCCCTTCGTGCTCGAGCAATATAATTATTCTCCTCTTTAGTAATCTGTCCAAGTTTCCACTTCTTGTAAGCTGTCTTTTTGTGTTTAAGCTCACTGAAAATATCACTGTTAAGCCAAGATGGTCACCTACCATATTTTCTTTTCTTACTGAACATTGGGTTGGCTTGTTCCTCTGCCTTTAATAAGGCTTTTTTAAAATACAGCCAGCTCTTCTGGAATCCTTCCCCCCTCATTTTAGCATCCCAGGGGATCCTGTCCATCATTTTCTTCAGTTGGCTTTTCTGAAGTCCAGGGTCTGTATTTTGTTGTTCCCCTTTCTTCCTTTGGCCAGGATCCTGAACTCGGCCATCTCATGATCACTGCTGCCCTGGTTGCCACCCATGTCTACTTCCCCTACTAATTCCTTCCTGTTTGTGAGCAGTAGGTCAAGCTGAGCATGGCCCTTGGCTGGTGCCTTTAGGGTTTGTACCAGAAAGTTATCCCCAACATTCTCTAAAAACTTCCTGGGTTGTCTGTGTACTGCTGTAGTGGTCTCTCAACAGATATCAGGGTGATTGAAGTCCCCTATGAGAACCAGGGCCTTTGATCTGAAAGCTTCTGTTAGTTATCCAAAGAAAGCCTTTTGTCTGCTTGTGCTTCTTGTCTGTTCTGTGCTTCTCACTGCAACATGGGCATCTGAGGCAGAGAGTGGAATAACCAGTAAAAAGTCAGGAAGGAAAAGTGAAATCAGGAAAAGTGTCTCACTGCAACATGGGCATCTGAGGCAGAGAGTGGAATAACCAGTAAAAAGTCAGGAAGGAAAAGTGAAATCAGGCATCAAAACCACACTTCTCTCCACCTCACCCCATAGGGTACGTCTAAACTACATGGCTCCGTCGACAGAGCCATGTAGATTTGTTTGTTTGGCAAAGGGAAATGAAGCCATGATTTAAATAATCGTGGCTTCATTTAAATTTAAATGGCTGCCATGCTGAGCCAACAAACAGCTGATCAGCTGTTTGTCGGCTCAGCGCGCTAGTCTGGACGCTCTCCTGCTGACATGAAAGCCCTTTATCGACCTCCCCGGTAAACCTCAGCCTACGAGGCATAACGGGGAGGTCGATAAAGGGTTTTCAGGTCGACGCGGGAGCGTCCAGACTAGCACGCTGAGCCAACAAACAGCTGATCATTTCCCTTTGCCGATCAGCCTAATCTACATGGCTCCATCAATGGAGCCATGCAGTTTAGACATACCCATACTGTGAGGATGTCCCCTACCTCATTAGTAACAGATTATAATTAATAGCTATTTGCATTTCAATGGAATGGAAGGCTACTCTCAGGGTTGGGGTCTCGTTGCACTAAGAGATGCATAAGAAAAGGCAGTCCCTGTCCCAATAAGCTTACAGGTTAGACAAAAGATATATGGTGGAAGGGGGAAATGTGATGCAGCATACAGGCAAAGTAGTGACTAAATATAAGTATGTAGCAATTAATTGCTGGAAGGGAAGTTACTCTCTGTGGTAGATAAATTACATATTATGTTTTATTATTGTTCTGGTAGCAGCACATCATGCTAGATGGTGTACATACAAAAAAGAAGGTTAAGGCCCTGCCTCCAAATAACCTATTTTTCCTCCTCAAAATTAAATTGGTTTTGTTTGTTTGTCTTTCCATAGCTACAGCAGAGCAGCCGTCCCAAATAGGTATGTAAATAACCTTAATATACACATTTCCATTCATCTCTCTCTCTCTCTCCTGGGTTTCTTTTACCATTGCCTATATTCATCAAAGGATGAATATAGGAAAACAGCACAGGAATGCAGGGGCAAGACTAGAAAGGCAAAGGCACAGAATGAGCTCAAACTAGGGAAACAAGAAGACGTTTTATAAATACATTAGAAGCAAGAGGAAGACCAAGGAGAGGGTAGGCCCACTGGTCAGTGAAGAGGGAGAAACAGTAACAGGAAACTTTGAAAATGGCAGAGATGCTCAATGACTTCTTTGTTTCAGTCTTTACCGAGAAGTCTGTAGGAATGCCTAACATAGTGAATGCTAGTGGAAAGGGTGTAATTTTAGAAGGTAAAATAAAAAAAGAACAAGTTAAAAATTACCTAGAAAAGTTAGATGCCTTCAAGTCACCAGGGCCTGATGACTTGAATACTCAAGGAGCTGATAGAGGAGGTATCTGAGCCTCTAGCTATCATCTTTGGAAAATCATGGGAGACAGGAGAGATTCCAGAGAACTGGAAAAGGGCAAATATAGTGCCCATCTATAAAAAGGGAAATAAGAACAACCCAGGAAACTACAGACCAGTTAGTTTAACTTCTGTGCCAGGGAAGATAATGGAGCAAGTAATTGAGGAAATAATCTGTAAACACTTGGAAAGTGGCAAGGTGATAGGGAACAGCCAGCATGGATTTGTAAAGAACAAATCATGTCAAACCAATCTGATAGCTTTCTTTGATAGGATCACAAGTCTTGTGGATAAGGGAGAAGCAGTGGATGTGGTGTACCTAGACTTTAGTAAGGTGTTTGATACAGTCTCGCATGATATTCTTATCAATAAACTAGGTAAATAGAACTCAGATGGGGCTACTATAAGGTGGGTGCATCACTGGCTGGATAACCGTACTCAGAGAGTAGTTATTAATAGTTCACAATCCTGCTGGAAAGGCATAACAAGTGGAGTTCCGCAGGGGTCTGTTTTGGGACTGGCTCTGTTCAATATCTTCATCAACTATTTAGATATTGGTATAGAAAGTATGCTTATTAAGTTTGCAGATGATACCAAGCTGGGAGGGATTGCAACTAATCTGGGGGATAGGGTCATAATTTAAAATGACCTGGACAAATTGGAGAAATGGTCTGAGATAAATAGGATGAAGTTTAATAAAGACAAATGCAAAATGCTCCACTTCGGAAGGAACAATCAGTTTCACACATACAGAATGGGAAGTGACAGCCTGGGAAGAAGTACGGCAGAAAGGGATCTAGGGGTTATAGTGGACCACAAGTTAAATATGAGTCAGCTGTTGCAAAGAAAGCAAACATGATTCTGGGATATATTAACAGGTGTGTTGTGAGCAAGACACGAGAAGTCATTCTTCCGCTCTACTCTGCACTGGTTAGGCCTCAACTGGAGTATTGTGTCCAGTTCTGGGCACCGCATTTCAAGAAAGATGTGGAAAAATTGGAGAGGGGTCAGAGAAGAGCAACGAGAATGATTAAAGGTCTAGAGAACATGACCTGTGAGGAAAGGCTGAAGGAATTGGGTCTGTTTAGTTTAGAAAAGAGAAGATTGAGCAGGGACATGATAGCAGTTTTCAGATATCTAAAAGGGTGTCATAAGGAGGAGGGAAAAAACTTGTTCATCTTGGCCTCTGAGGATAGAACAAGAAGCAATGGGCTTAAACTGCAGCAAGGGAGGTTTAGGTTGGACATTAGGAAAAAGTTCCTAACTGTCAGGGTGATCAAACACTGGAATAAATTGCCCAGGGAAGTTGTAGAATCTCCATCTCTGGAGATATTTAAGAGTAGGTTAGATAAATGTCTATCAGGGATTGTCTAGACAGTATTTGGTCCTGCCAGGAGGGCAGGGGACTGGACTCGATGACCTCTCAAGGTCTCTTCCAGTCTTAGTATTCTATGATTCTATGATTCATTGCTAGTTTTGAACAATAGAAACTATATTGCATGCCCACAATGGCCTGAAAAGAACTGCATCTATAAAGGAAATTTTGGAGAACGTTTCAATATTTATACAAACCTTAATGCTGCTGTTGTATATTCAGCTAACTGGCTAGTAAGAATGGCATTGTGCTGTATTCTACTGAAGTACTGATTTATTTTTATTTCAATAAAAGAGTCAGTATTTTCCCCCTTTAAGTACTCTAATGTTACTCCTGAGTTTCCAAAACTAGAGTTAAGTAGGGGATATAGTGTGGTAAGTGGTAAGGAGAGAGAAAATGAAGGAACTTAACTGTTACTTTACAAATGCACATTTTGGTTTTGTGATTAGCAATAGTTATTAGTGTGAGTTTCCTCTCCTATGTGATGCTTTCTCATTTAACTCCTTAAAGAGAACTTTTTGCTGAGGTCTCACAGCACTCAGATGCCTTAAACCCGTGGTGTCCAACATGCTAGCCACTAGCCACATTTGGCTGGTTGAGTGTGGCTAGTTCACTACAGAGTACACTAGTGAGTAGTGGCTACTGCTTCAGAACTGGTTGGACACCACGGCCTCAGACAAAGATTCTTGAGCTTTTTTCAGTGTGGCCCAATTCATAACAGAGGATTGTTTCATGGAACCTCTCCCCTCCACAATTACATAACATATATGTGGCTACTGCAGCACTTGCTTATACAGAAATAAAGAAGGATTTTATGTATTGTAATTTACTTATACAGGCAGTCCCTGGGTTACGTACAAGATAGGGACTGTAGGTTTGTTCTTAAGTTGAATCTGTATTTGTCGGAACTGGCGTCCAGATTCAGCTGCTGCTGAAACTGACCAGCGGCTGATTACAGGAAGCCCGAGGCAGAGTTGACTTGGGGACGCCTGGGGTTCTTAAGTTGAATCTGTATGTAAGTCGGAACTGGCGTCCAGATTCAGCCGCTGTTGAAACTGATCAGTTTTAGCAGCGGCTGAATCTGGACGCCAGTTCTGACTTACATACAGATTCAACTTAAGAACAAACCTACAGTTCCTATCTTGTACGTAACCCGGGGACTGCCT